TTAAATCTATAATTATTTCGTTTCCCATTTTTCTATCTACACATTCTCTTGTACCGAAGGGAGTTTTGAAAGATCTTGATAAAATGCGTAGGAATTTCATATGGCATAAACAAGATGGGAAGAATGGACTTCATTTTGTGGGTTGGGATGTCCTTTGTAAGCCGAAGAAATTCGGTGTTCGTGGGCTTCATTCGTGTGATAGAAAAGTGGGGCCTTTAAGGGCAAAGTTGGCATGGAACTTCATAAATAACTCTGATTCTCTTCTATATAGAATTCTACATGATAAATATGGAGGTTGTAGCCATAAGTTTGAGGCGAAGATTGGCTCTTCTTCTTCTTGGAAAATTCTATATGATGGGGCTAAGTCTCTTGCTCCCATTGTAAGATGGAATATAGCGGGTGGAAAGTCCATTAATGTATTAAAGGATGTTTGGGTGTTGGACAAATGCTTCAAGAAGTGGCCAATGTTTATTGCTGGTTCTGTTTAGAAGGAACTTCAGAAATTTTTTGGTGAACAACTTATGGTTCTTTATTTGCAAAATCCAGATCTGTCATGATTCAGTTAGGGATCAGCTGGAACTTGCTTGTCAATGCTGTAGCAAACTATTTCATTCTTAGCATTTGAGGCTTCGGTTTAAGGGCGTACAGGGAATGAATATTGGAAATTGATTAGGATGATTAAGCTGAATCCTCGGCTGAAAGGTTTTTGCTGGCGTATATTTAACAATGCATTTCCTAGATTCCAATATTTGATGTATAGAAGATTAAAGGATGATAATGGGTGTCCTAGAGGCTGTAATGCTGTGGAAGATTTAGCTCATGTGGCACTGAGTTGCATGAAGCTTGTTTAGGTGATACATTGTTTGAACAAGTGGGGTTTTGATATTCTGAATTTCAGTTCGTTTAATGAATGTTGTATGTGGTTGGAAAGGGTTGCTTCTAAAGAGGGTTTTCTAGCTAATCTTTATTGTTCGGTGGTATATTTATCTTGGAAAGCTAGGAATCAAGTTGTTCATGGCAGTTCCAAAAACAGTTTTCTTGTGATATCAGCGAATTCGGTAAGCTATGCTTCTATTTCATATTATGTTGTATATGGTAATTCAAATTCAGGCCACTAGGGTGTTAATCAGTCTTCTCAACTGTTGTTTAATCATTGTCACACTCCTCCCGATTGGATCAAAGTTAATGTGGATGCATCCTTGTTACCTTCGTATAAAGCTGGAATTGGTGGAGTTTTCTGAGACCACAAAGGTAGATTCTTGTTAGCATTTGGATTTTTAATTGTTTACATTGGGATGTCTCTCAGTTGGAGCTGTTAGCTATTCATTCATTAGGAAGGAATATTCAAGAGTGGATGTTGCAATACAAAGGGATTATCATTGAAGGGGATAATTATAATATCATTAAATTTGTACAAGAGGCTATGAGAAAGGTGGATGTTGCAAATTGTGGCCATTGGGTAGAGGAGCTCTCATTTTTGAATGATTTTAATCAAGTTATTTTTAATTTTTTTCACATAGGAATTGTAATAAGTTAGTTGATGTATGCACTAACTTTACTCTTATTAGTAATCTTTTTTGGGATGATGTTAGTAAGAATAATATTCCTCCTCCTTTTCTTGAATTATTAAAGGAGGAATGTGATTGTATTGATTTCGCTAGCAATGTAGTTCCAACTCAACTAGGAGTAGGGCTGCAAACGAACCCGAGTATGTGAGTGTTCATGTTTGTGTTCATTAAATGTCAGCTTGTTCAAGTTTGGTTCATATTTCGAGCTTTATTGTTTGTGTCCATGTTTGGTTCATTTAAATTAATGAGTGTTCATGTTTGATTCATGTTCGTTCGTTTAGTGCTTATCGAGCTTGTTTGCGAACATATTTAATGAATTTTTTTTAACTATCAAACAAACATGTTCATGAACATATCTATGAACAAACATATTTATAATAAAAGCAATTGTCTATGTAACAAAGGCAATGATTATTTATATTTATTAATTTTATAGTCAAATATTAATTATTTTTATCGAGCTTATTCACGAGTTCAAAATCGAACACGAATCGAGCTTTTATCGAGCTTGTTCACGAACTTCAAATGATGTTGTTCGCGAACATAAATGAGCCGAACACATTAGTGTTAAAGTTTGTTTATTTAAGAATCGAGTATTTAAAATGTTGTTCAAGTTTGTTTGTTTAGTTAATTAAACGATCACAAACGAGCTTTAATCAAACCAAACAACGAATAGCTCGTCGAACGATTGGTTCGCTTGCAGCCCTAACTAGGAGTAGTCTTCAACACCAAGTGAAAGCAAGAATGACATATAACCTATTACCAAGGAGGAAGTTGTTCTTGATGCCCATAAGACTAAGAGTGCTTGAACTCACTCACCTTTCACTCCTACCTTCTTCTTTAAGAAGTTTATTATATATTTGTTTGTTGCTTTGACTTTCCCATTCATTTGAGAGTGGTGGATTGAGCAAACTTGAGGCGAATGCCTTGTGATTGACATAAGATGCTGATATTTTTGTCAATAAAATGTGGGTCATTATTTGTTATTGTGATGAGGGGTCGTCCATCCTGCAAATTATGTCGAACTAAAGAAAGTTCTAGATGACATTGACATTGGTCTAAGTGACTTATCCTTTCTTCAGTCAGTGAAAAAGTCCACAATTACTAGTGTGAAATTTGTTAAAAGGTGCTCACCTTGCTAATTGTGTCCTCACCAACTCTAAGAAACAACAATCCTCTCCTAACCTCAACCTTTGGAGTAATGAAGACTATGAGATAAAAATCTTGAATTTTTGAAAGTAGACTTTGAAGAAAGGTGAGCACCTTTTAAAATATTTCAGGATGAAGTTGTTTAGTTTGACGATTAGCCTAATTAATCGGTGAACATCCTACAATTACCTTAATATTGTTAGGATTCACCTTAATGCTCTTGGATGTCAAGAGGATACCTAGAAACTTTCTTGAACATGTGCTAAAAGTACACTTTGGGTCATATATTATATTTTTTCAACATTGTGAATGTCCTTCAAGTCCAGTATGTGTTATTCTTGGCGACTCGTTTTTCACCAATAAATTTTTTAGGTAAACCTCCATATTTCTACCCTTATACTCCATAAAGACTCGATTTATCATCCTCTAATAAGTCACCCCAACATATAGGCCTAGTGTCATATTTGTAACAGTAGAGACCCTTCTCTATGATAAAGGAAATTTTCTCATAATCACTCGGATGTATCTTGATATTATGATAGCATGAGAATATTGCAAATCTAAATCCAAGTGCTGTGATTTTGATGATAACAAACATTATTATTTTTTTGCTGCTATCTCCTGTTAATTGTTATTATTACATATATGTTTTATTTTTTGTGCACAAAATATTTCAGGTCCACTGTACACTTTGCAATTGTTTAGCTCAAGATTGGATAGAATAGGGTTGAAAAGTCTGTAATTTTATATTTCCTTATTTTAGTTTTCTTGAATCAAAAATATATTTGGTGGATGCTAAGCTTGGTAACCATGCACACACACACTCAAGGGAGTGAGCTAGTGAGAAAATAATTTTTTGGACGTCATACAATACAATCTACATCATACTATATGATCAGACAAACAAAAAACATTAATAGCTAATTATTTCAATTAAAGCAAGTTTGAACAAATCGTACTGGATTATCAATATCATACGGGAGGATATGTTGAAATTTTGATCCTAACCGCTAATCACAATTTAGGCAATATTTTAAAATTCAAATTTTGAACTAATCGTACCAAACAATTGGTATCGTACTGTACGATTTCATTAAATCTTGCCTAAATAAATCTTGTGATTGGGGAAATAGTTTTGATTAATTTATTGATTCAGATCGTACTTGATGATCGTAAACGATCGTACTATATGACATGTGATGAGCATGGGACGATAATTTATCACCGCCCATTGTACAGAACGATAAAACAAGATGTTTCAACTAATCGTCCTGGATGATAGGGGACAATCATACTATACGACCCACGGCGTACATGGAATGATATTTTATTGTCGCCCATCATACAAGACGATAAACCAAAATGTTTCAAATAATCATACTGGGCAACTATTCAAATCATCTTGGACAATCAATGTAATCCTTTGAACTGATTATACTTGTGCATTACAATTCGTGTAGTACTAACAAAGTGATTTGAACTAATCATACCATATGAACTGATATCGTACTGTACAATCAATGTCGATAGAATTAAATTTTAGGACTATTTTTTAGGCCTTGTATTTAGCTCTCTCAATTAGTTTGTTTGATACTTTTTGCTATTGAGTGTTCTTGAGAGAGAGCCTTGATATGATAATCTAGGAGAGCTTTGGGAGGAATGAAAGGGAGAACTTGTGTGTGAAGGAGCAGCATGAGGGGTTCACACAGTTGCTCCAAGCTAGTGTCTTGTCTTGTTCCTCCAAGTATCTGTCTAAGTATCTTAGGTGGCTCTAGAGAGAAATTCATCAACTCATTGTCGTAGTTCTCTGCCATCACCTAGAGGGTGAGAAAGAATGCATTAGTTCTATGTCATCATCAGGAGGGCGAAAAATGATTCTGACATTCTTTGCCTTCTTCAGGAGAGAGAAAAAGGATTTTGATTCTCCTCCATCACTAGGAGGGTGAGAAAGATTTCAGTTCTCCGCCACACCGACGTTAGTTAGCATTATGGTGTTCTTCCTTATCTTATGCATAATAGGTTGTGCTTCTTACCACATGTTTAATCTATGGCAGATGACTTCTGTATCAATGCATTGCATCCATATAACTGCCGACGTAAAAACATCAAGGTCATCCTTGAGGGCCTGGACTAGCTTACCTCAAATTGCTAAGATAAATGATGTGCTCAATCTAATATTATCTTCCATTGGAGCTACTCCAACCTTTTCACGTATATGCACATTTCATGAAAAGTTTGACATTCATTTATTTAAGAGGGCCTAAAATAAAGAAATTTAAAAAATTGAGATGAACATGAATCATGGTGGCATGATCATTAAATTTTCATAATAAAAACAAACACAATTAACAAGTTAGCTCAACAAGGAAAATAGAATCGAGTGATAACTGGAGTAGGACCTTATATAAATAATTCTAAACCTTAAATTCTGATTGAAATTGATCCATGCAAGGTAGAGAAGAAATTAATGCAACAAACGTTCTGTTAATAATTTCGATGGCTTCAGCAAAAACCTTAATGAATGACAGGCTTGAGGGGATGCGCCCTCAGTTTAGACAAGTCCAGATTAGCGTCCAGTTCTTCATCCAGTTCTCCAACAACGCTTCTGCAGGTTTCAAATATACATGAGAACATTAGCCAAGATTAATAAATAGGTTAGAATTCATCTCAAGAAGAAGCCATTAGTTCTGGAAATCACATATAGAGCTGTGTGCGAAATTATGACAAGAGAATGATATGATAGTGTTATAGATGTGGTCAGATTGGGCATAGGGTAGGTGAGTGTCTCTAGTAGGACTTGATAAACGTTCTTAGCCAAGGTCTGAGAATTTTATTAGATCAATAGGGAGGCCAAGGAAAATTTTGGCATGCATATTTACTGAGGGATAATCTAGTAAAGTTAGTGGTTCTAGCACTATGGAAACAGTGGCGGAGCCAGAAATTTTATTCCGATGGCCTAAATTAAAATATTTTGTTTGTCGTCTCCAAGAGAAGTGCTATGGAAAGTTCTGGAAAAGAAAGGGGTTAATAATGCTTATATTCAAGTCGTTAAGGATATATATGTAGGAGTTGTTAGATGTGTCTAGACACAAGGTAATTTGACCAAGTATTTTCCTATTTCAGTTGGATTACATCAAGGATCAGCTTTAAGCCCATATATTTTTACTTTAGTCATGGATGTTCTCACTGGACATTTGCAAGAGGTTATATCCTAGTGTATGTTTTTCCCTGATGATATTTTTCGTGTTGGTAAGACTAGATAGGAAATTGAAGGAAACTTGAATTATGGAGGTCATCCTTAGAGTCTAAATGCTTTCATTTAAGCTGATCCAAAACTGAAAATATGAATTGCAATTTTAGTAATAATAGTTCTAGTAGCGGGATTGTGACTTTAGATAATCAAGCTATTAAGAAGTGTACACTTTTTAGATATCCTAGGTCTATTCTTTAGAGTGATGGTGAAATAGATGAGGATATTATTATTAGTATCCAAGTTGGATGGTTGAAGTGGAGGAATGCATCGGGCTTATTGTGTGATAGAAAAGTCCCCCTCAAACTTAAGGGAAAATTCTATAAGATGGTGGTTAGACCTGTAATGCTTTAGGGTATAGAATGTTGGCCATTAAAAGAGAAGCATAATAGTCAGTTAAGTGTTGCAGAGATGAGAATGCTTAGGTGGATGAGTGGCTTTACTCTTAGAGATAGGATAAGAAATGAGCATATACGTGAAAAGGTTGGAGTAACTCTAGTGGAAGATAAGATTAGAGAGAAACGCTTTAGATGGTTTGGCCACATAAAATGGCAGTCTTCTGATGACTCAATTAGGAAAGTAGATATATTAGATTTGACTTATAGTAAGAAGGGCAGAGGTAGATCAAAAAAAGACTTGGTTAGAAAATATTAGAAATGACCTTTCTTTATTAGGTTTAAATGATAATTTAACTTCTAACAGGACACAATGGAGAAAAAGGATTCACGTATCCAACTTAACATAATGGGATAAAGGCTTGATGTTGTTGTTTGTCATCTAGAATGTTAGAATACCTTAAAATAGTTATCCATGAGCCTTTGGTGATTCTCATTTGGATTGTCTTGTCCAGTTAAGACCACATTTTACTAACTAGAAGCACCATATTTGCCAATGGAAAGATATTTGGCAAACCTCTTCCATTGAATAACAAGAAAGGTGGCATATGCAAATTATGATGCACATATCCTAGTCAAGGTAGAGTCTAGTGGCAAAAGAACTCTAGTTTCTCTCTCTTCATTCTCTTTTTTCTATTCCTTTCTTGGGCTCCCTTCCATGAGAAATGAGGGACATATTTATAGTTTTTTGAGAGTGGCATGACCAATAAATAGGATGGAGATCAAGGGTAAGTTGGGAGTTGTTTGAAAGGACGGCCGATGTTGATTCTCTTGATAGTGAACTATTTATTGAGTTTTTGAATGTTTTAATGATATCAAAATTTGGCGATCTTGGCCTCGTTGAATTTGTTTCGTTGAGCTGCTCGTTTCAACTATAAGCAAGTCACATTTTGAAATCATTTAGTCATCCATTTTATGGTTTGAACTTTCTAAATGAGCTCCAAGTCTCCAATTTGGGCCCATTTGGGATAATAGTGCCACTATTTGGTGAATGTGTGGGTGGGGGGGGGGGGGGGGGGGCATATGCCCCCCTTCCCTCTGCCTAAGTATGGCAGGAAAACCAATTGGGAGCCCAAGAAAGCTCAGTTTCTCTAACCCTAGTCCAACCACATATGAACGGTTTAAATCAGCACGTGGCTGAAGATGCTCTGGATGTAGCTATAGGTATGGTTTATGTGTTTGATCTGCATTATCATGATTTGAAACATGCTTGGTCTGGTGTTCGGACTTAATAATTTTTCCATCTGAAGACTGAAGTTGAAAATAGAATAGCATACATGTTATCTCCTCTGATGATATACAACCCTAGAACAAGTTGCTGGACGCCTTCCTGGGAGAGAAGAAAACTTTGTTAGAGAAATAAAAAAAAACTAATAATCAAAATGGAAAATTAGGTTTGTGGCAGTTGCAAACTAAGTACATATTTTAGGCCAACTTGGGTTGGTCAGTTTTTTTTTTTTTTTTTAAATTCCAACGTAAGTTCAATATGTTGGAATCATGAAATTAATATATAATGGACAAATAGTATTAAATACATAAACTCTTTCTGGACATTTGGTATACATGGTCCAAATGTACATTTAAATCACCAATGGACAATTCATTTGGTTTGCATTTTATCCTGTTTATCAGAAAAATTTTACTGCATAATACAATGATAAGTTGCAGAATTCTTGAACCATGCCAGGAAAATAATAAAACTTCGAGCACAATTATTTGAAGTTTCAAGAAAATTTGTATCAAAGATCTCATACATCTGATATAAATTTACGGGATTTGATGAGATTTTCACTAACGTTCATGATCATAAAGAGATCAATTCTACTAAACTTTAAAAGAGTGCATAGAGAGATTAAACATCATGCGAATAAAGACAAATATATCACTTTATCTAAATTAATGTCTAAGAGAGAACACAATGTGTTATGATGATGATGGTTGAACTCGGACAACAAGATGTTGACATTCCTTCTCTCCTCTTTTCTGCTACGAGAGTTTCTCTCTTGTTCTTCTATCATTCTTTACAAGTGATTATGAGATTATTTACAAGTAAAGAACTTTTAGTAAGTAACATCAATTATCACCCACCATTGAAGATTTCATTGTATACTTTCATAGTAGCTTCTATTTAAAAACTTCTTATAGCCTCCATTTAAGATTTTGTGATAGCTTCCATTTAAATAGTTCATGTTGTTGAAGTGAGCAAAAAATTTTAATAAAACAAAATTTTGACTCAACTCTTGACAAAGCAGCGTAACAATTTAGATCATAGGTTTTTTCACCAATTAGGACCGTATAAATGATAGATTCAATACAGAAGTACATCCAAATCAATAGCAAGACCCATAGCAATGACACAAAGAAACCAGAAGAAAAAAAAAAAGAAAGATGGCATTTGAGTGCAAAATTCAACCATTTGGGAATTAGAGACCTCATGCAACTGATATTAAAAAAACGTGTTTTCTAAAAAAAAAAAATTCATGTGCATATAGCAACTTGTGCCTATTAAATATCATTTTTTTAATTTTTTTAGGAACAAATTAAATAGATAATACAATAAGCTTGCAAATCATTATTATTATTTAACGCAAATTATCATACACTTCTTCATGCATAATATATTTTATAAATATGCTATATGGGGTGACGGTTTTATCTCATCACTCAACTAAAAAGCTATAACCACCTATGCTCTGTACAAATCATATCGCATGTATTGACTGTATTAAACCTCAGAATTTAATTACTCTGATAGCACTTTTTGTCATGCCCCTCAAATGAGTAGGATAGCATGAACTTATATATTACCTATTGATGCATAATGAGTAGTTTGTTAAAAAATAAATAGTATATATATTTAAATGTTTAATAATAAAATGAAATAAGCTTAAGAAATTTGATTTTATGTGAGATAAATTGGCAATTATATGTTTATGATAACCTACATAGATTGGGTGATAAAGTTGAGCCTATATGGAGACGAGACTCAAATTCATATGTTTATAATAACCTTTAGAGATAGGGTGATAAATGTGAGCCCATATGGAGGCAAAAAAGATCACTAAATTGATATATTTATAATAATTTGCGCATATAGGGTGACAAAAGTGAGCATATATGGAGACAAAGGGATCCTAAAATTAATATTTTTATAAAGACATATGCAGGTAAGACGACAAAGGTGAGCCCTTATGAGATAAAAAGATATTCAATATATAGCTTTCGGGCTAAGTTTTCAACCCCTATTATATGTGATAAGGGTTTGATCACAAATACAATCCACTATCTTATAGTGTCCAATGAACCTAGACCTACATCCATGATATACTTGTATATAAATAAACCATACGTTGGTATTAAGCAATAAATGAAATTTTACATGCTCTTCGCCTTTAATTGATTATGCTTGACACTTTAGTTGGCTTCTCTCTTTTCCCTCTTCTAATTTCAAAAGGCTTATTTGAGTTCCTTGAGGGATTGCAAAAAATAACTAATTAAGGAATTGGGATTTTTATAGAAGAAACAAGAATAATGGGTAAAAAAAATTTTCTACCAATGCTTAGGAAGCTAGATGTGCCTTTAAAGGCACGCCAAAGGAGAGAAAGAGAAAGAGAGAGAGAGAGAGAGAGAGAGAGAGAGGATTTCAGATGATTTTTGTAAGAAGAATAGTTCACTATTGCTTCAAGCATCAATTTTACATACCAAGGACCCATATTTAAAAAATAAGAATTAAGTTATATCTATGCAAAATTCAGAATGCCCAAAATATTCAAGCAATCAACAAAAAAACATCAAGTCTTTATCCCACTACGTGGGCGGCCTAACATAAATCCTTTTTTCTCCATTTTGTCCTATTAAAAGTCAAATTCTCGTTTAAATCTAATAAAGAAAGGTCATTCCTAATATTTTCTAACAAGTCTATTTTAGTCTACCCCTACTTTCTTAACATATAGTCTAAATCTAATACCATCTACTCTCCTTCACCGGGTCATCGGAAGGGCCGCCCGTTTATGTGACCAAACCATCTAAGTCACTCTCTCTAATCTTATCTTTCTACTGGAGCTACTCCAACCTTTTCACGTATATGCCTCATTTCGAATCCTATCTCAAGGGTAAGCCAACTGCATCCACCTGAGCATCCTCATCTCTTTTGCCACACTTTAAGACTTAGTATTATCGCTTCTCTTTTATGACCAACATTCGGCACCATAAAGCATTGCAGGCCTCACTATCATCTTATAGAATTTTCCCTTAAGTTTGAGGGGTACATTTATATCACATAACAAGCTTGATGCATTCCTCCACTTCAACCATCCAACTTAAATTCTGCTGATAATATCCCCATCTATTTCACCATCACTCTGAACAATAGATCCAAGATATCTAAAACATGTACTGTTATTAATGACTTGATCGCCCAAAGTCGCAATCCCCTCACGAGGTCTATTACTACTAAAATTACACTCCATATATTCCGTTTTAGATCTACTCAAGCGAAAACCTACAATTTTTTAAAGGATTCATGTCATTATTCTAGCAATAAAAAAAAACATTTACATTATGGATGGCATCATCCCTTGAAAATAAGAAATTTCCTTAATTTGTATCATGAAATATAGCTTACCATGCTAGATAAGGAAGATTTGTGAAAAGCATCGTGCAAGATTCTTTGATTCCTTTGGAAAGAATAATGCAAGATTTTTTTATTCTTTCCAATTGAAGTTTTACCTTGGTCATCCCCCTCTTCTTAAAATTTAAAATGCCAATTTACAATGAACTCCCTCCTAACCTTCTATTAGTAATTTTACAATTTCTTATAGGTCTCTTGAATTATTATATTTCCTATCCTCGCATACTCACTCATACCACATAAATCCCTCTATATATCCCCTCATTCTCTCTCCCCTATATAGAATAGCCACAAAACAACTCTCTCGCTCACCTTAGCACCTACCTTCCCTCCTCTCTTTAGAAATCTTAACAAACTCCATTGTCCTTCTCATTATTCTAACAAACTCCATTGTTGATATCACTCTCATAAACTTTATATTTGCCTGATAAAAACTACCCAATACTTGTTGTATTTCTCCTATTTTAAGTCTTAAAGATCTCTCTCTTTAGATAATACTTTGTTTTAACTTTTCAATATGTAACTTCAATTTTGGCTCAATGTTTAAAATTACGTATTCGGGTATTGAGGCGTTTTTCATTCGTGAGGCGAGGCATAAGCCTCAAGGCGTTTTGAGGCGTAAGCCTCAAAATAGATTGCGTAAACATAAAATGATAAATTTTTTATATAATAATGAGTGAATAATATAAAACATAAAAAAAAGTATAAGATATGAAGTGAAATCAAAATATCTCAATAATAAGACAACATGAAATATAGTTCAACTCAAAATTCTATCTTTCCCAAATCCCAATATTCTTTTCATTAACATATAATTCAAATTTCCAAAAATAAATAGCAATGACATATCACATAAGAACTCATAAGCATCGGCACTGTCATCACTAAGGGGTTCTTCATTTGAATCATCATTATGATGAAATGCTCTCTCCCCTTCCTCCTCTCCTATAGAGTCCAATGTCGGGCATTTACTACAAGATTTATGTAAGTTTTAATATATATATAGCATGAGACGTAAGCCTCATGCCAGTGAGGCGAGGCGAGCCTCAAGGCGGGCCTCAACCAAGTTGAGGCGCAAGCCTCATAAAAAACTTGAGGCGTAAGCATCAAGGCGTTTTTTACTGGAATTGCGCAAAGGCGAGCCTCATATTGCGCAATTTTAAACCATGTTTTGGCTAATGTCATGATATTCAAATAGTTTACTTCAAATTTATGAAATTGGAATATTTTTGTAGCTTTCTAAGGATGTACCTTAAATTTTAAATGTCCTATAGTCATGGCTAGGAAAAAAAAACTTCAAGGTCTTTTTTCCTATAACTAGAAACTCTCTCTCTTGTATTCTAATCTAAATAGCTTCTCCTCTTATCTTAACATTATTTCCCTAATATCCTTCCATAACTCTCCCTCACTCTCTATTCCGACTCTCCTATCTCTTATTAAGAATACGCAAAAATTAGCAACCCCTCTCCCACGCTTCCTCTCTCGTTCCTCTAACAAACAATCATAAACTCCCTGTTTCCCTTTGTCATTTGTTGTAATAAATATATTTATATCCACTTAATAAAAACACGTCTAAATAGTCATATTCTAGCAGGCTCCTTACCTCTATCTCCCAAAATACCCACTAATACAATACCCCCATTCTCCCTCAACTACGACTCATTCCCTCAAACTTCATCCCTACTCAATAAAGAAAACGTGAGACCTCTACTCCCCCACCTATTTTCAACATAACACCTCTATATATCTCTCTACCTACTACTTTCCTACCCAAGCACTGGTTCATCTCTCCACCAACCCTCACCCCATTTCCCTCTCTTTCTCTTCCTCTCTCTACCCACTGTAGTGAAATAGTATAAGAATTCTAATTGATAGAATTAGATTCCCACATGAAAATTGCTTCTGCTTCTCCATACTACATTTAAAGGCTTTCTAACATGTGACCATGACAACAAATAGAGATCAATATGCCTTGTGAATGCAGTGAAAACTCAATAAACAAATGAGAGAGAATGAAGAGAGAAGCATAGAATTTCATAATAGAAAGGTGGATCAGTGATGACATCTTCTACAAAAGTGTAGAGATGTGTACTCATGGAAAAGAACCCAACTCAACTTGTTTGTGATTCATGGATCAAGCATTGAAACTTAATGCTATTGTATAGTAAAAAGATGTTGGAGAATGGTGGCATGCCTCGGGTTTCAACAATTAAATGCTTGCAATAATGGGTAGGCAGTGTAGGGTTTTGTTACCTTCTTTTTCTTCTATGATCACAAACCAAAATAGGAGTTTACATTTGACATAAAATAATATAGATCATTTCATAGTTATGATTTACATGGAGATTGTTGAGTGATATAATACTAAGCAATGTTCCCTTAAATATGTTTGCATCAAGTAATCAAAGACCATGATTTATTTGAACTCCGTGCTTCAAAAAAAAAAACCTCATTTGCACTTCAAATTGCACTTTATGCATTGATAAACTTGGTTGCGCATTCAATTCACCCTTGGCACGCCTATTCCACAAGGTTTATTATGCCTTGTGCTTCGACTAATGGAGGTGTATTTTCTGGAGGAATAAAGGTGTGGAGGAATGCTTTTTAATTTGTTTCTCATAAAATTACATAAGAAATTTATACTAAAAGCAAATTAAAAAACAGTTCATATATAATTATCAATCTCCACAATTATATAGGGTGCCATGAAGAACGCATATCTTGCCATTGGCTTAAGCATCAATCATAATTACCAAGAATATTCCCTAATCAGATACCTAAACTTATCATAGCTTAACAATTTTCTGTCAGCCCAAACAAGAGTATAGTCAACAATAAAGGAAATAACATGTTTTTCTATTTGAAGTATTGTTCTAGAAATTACAGGCAGAGGGCAAACCTTAGTGGAGTAAACCCGCTCATGGGATTCATCAAGAATGATATTTGTTGCTTGATCAAAGCCTTTCAAGATTCCCTACAGATATATTCCAACATTGTCAACTGTACATTAAGCATGACACCAAAATTACTTCAAATAGTACAATTAAAATGGAGTATAGAGGAAAGTGGGTAGCAATTCATAACTTTCTGCATATATGTAATATTGTATACATATTTGTAAAAAAGAAATTTTATAACAAATGATTAATTTGACAAATTTCAATAAAAATAATTAGCAAACCATGAAATGGATTAATGCTCACCACGATATTGCGCCCATCATTTGTTATAACTGATATTGTCTCTGCATAAAAATAAATAAGAGTAAAGGAAAATATTTAAGATATCATATGTAAAAACTCTGTTTACCTAACATTTTAAAAGAAAAACTGCAATGCATTTATAAGAGAACAAAGAAGAAAAGGAAGTTGTAAAGATGAAGCATTAGATCACTTACGGTCTACAAGAGATTCAAGGCCTGGGCCAGTTGACATCAGGTTTCAGATCAGTTAGATCTATACAATAAGTTGTAACAGAATAGCTCCCACCCCTGGAAAACATACCAACATGATGATCCGAAAAAAAAAAAAAAAATCAGTATTCTTCCAGCCTTCCATTTTCATGCATAATGTTGAAGTCCAGCCGTTCCCATTGCAAAGGATCCGACAGTCACAGAAATCAATCCATGAGAAGCTCACATGGATCACGCCATAATGAAGGAACTAATTTAGGAAAAAGTGTATTAGGAATTTTATGTATTAAATCTGTAATTTTATTGTTTCCTCGTTAAGATATCTTGTATAGATCTATAAATAGGGAAGATATTATATAATAAAGACAAGCTTTTCCCTCTCAAACTTACTGTTTTCACACATAATAACAACAAAAATACCCAGACCTAAAAGAAAAGAAAATGAATTGTCAAAGGAAAACATAGAATAACTCTACTGGAGAAAAAGAAATTTAGAAATTAAAACAGATAAAATACCAAACATCAAAATAAACTGTTAAATAACCGACGGCGATATTGATCACAATTGGCAAATTATCATAATAATCTCGTCCCTTCTGTTGCTCAAATAACATTGCAACAAAAAGAAACCACGCCCGATCAGGAAGCTAACCCCTCCAATCCACCATTTTGATCGAACAACACAGCTCGCCAAAAGAAACTTAGATCATGCTTCCGGGATCATTTAGCCACATGTATTTAGAATGGATTCATAAGAATTCCAAGTGATACCTAAAGGAACTTGATTGGGTGTAAAAGCAATTGTAAAGAATTTGTTAATCCAATTTGGTTAAAATAAAACGTGGTTTAGTTTTTCTTTATTTCTTTGTCTGACAGAAGCTAGAGTGTAGTATCACCGATAAAATGAGGGTATTAAGATTATCTTCTAATTGGACGCTTACAGAATAGGCTAGACAAGCTTGTTAATTGACTAAATCGTTAACAAATCAAGCAAATATTGATTAGAAGGCTTAGACAAGCTTGTCAATTGCTTAGATCAGAAAAAACAAACGCAAATTATGAATTAATCCAACTTCAAATGATAAGACTCCATACTAACAAACATGATAACCAAATGAAAATAAAATTAAACCATATTAAATTACGATTTAGCAAGAAAATTATGAATAGAAAAGTGTATAACAGCCAATAAAATATGAAGTGCCAATCACTAACAAGGTTATATAATTAGTTCGGAATGAAGTATCATCCTTTTTTTGTGCGAAAGTTGAGGGCATATCCCAGTAATAAAAATAAAAATGAACAGGGCACCAAAGACTTGGATTGTTCAAAAGTACAAGATAGTCAGCGAAAGAAAGATTAAAGATAAAAAGGCTAAGCGAACATGCTAAGTTGAACCCAAAAACATAAAAGATCAGTCCCATAAAAAGATAAAATGAGGGAAATGATACATTAAAAAGGAAACATAAAAAAGTCATTATCCTCTAGCAAATGTGACAAAACCAATAGAAAGGTAATATAAGAATATGATCAACTGGAGTGACACTAATGGGAGAAATTATTCTGTGCATTACAGACGTAGAGCTAGGTTCGGACGCCAATAAAATTGTTACACGTGGTATGCTTACGTGGAAAGTCCGGGATATTTATTTGAGTTGCAACCCGAGCCAGTCCAAAGTTATCTTGTCAGCCCGACTGAAGACGGACACCCGCCCTCTCAAAATAAAGGTAAAAAGATGAAATGGCGGAAATTTTTCACATTTCAAGCGCCTATACAGTTTTCAATTTCCGACATTCGCAGTTGTACGAGGTTCCTGCAAAAAATTCTTCTGAAAACTTCCAGCATTCTTTTTTGCTCAAATGGAGTCACCTGCAAAAAAAGAGATACGTTATTGCGTACAACAGTTAAATGTACTCGGTATTTTTTAATATTTAGTGCGTATTTGCTAAATAAATCATTAAAAAAAAAACATTTCGATAAGGATAAAAGATTATATATTTCTTAACTTCTCCATGATTTTTACGTATTTTATGCATATATTCTGCTTATTCTCTGTGCATTTGTTGAAAACTCAAACTCTAAAATTTTAACATAAATATTATGAATCTTAAAACCATAAAAAAAAAATATATTTCAATAAAAAAAAAAGATTAGTCATTTCTTACTTTCAGATTAATTTTAGTGTAAATAATGTTTGATTTCTGCTTATATTCTGCGTACCTTCTGCGTACATATTGCGTAGCAATATCTTCTGTTTATCTTATTTAATATTTATTTTCTTAATTTATGCAAATCTACGTCGGTCCTATCTCTTATCACGGCTATGTTTCAACATTCAAAATAATCTTAATAATTTTGCCAAGATAATTCCTCCTGATGTTGAAGACAAACTGAAGAACTTAAACATTTACCAATTTTTTCAATTTCCTGGATTCGAGCAAAACGCCCCACTTATTTACCAGCTGATGATAATGTGGAATATTTCAAAACAAAAGTTTATTATAAATGATCATGTTATACCTTTCACTGCTGATGAATTGACCCTCCTTTTTAGTCATTCAAACAGAGGTGAAGATATTTTCTAGCTTATCTTGCCCCCTACAGTAGTCACCTTAAAGGATATAAAGTTGAAAATGCTATAATTAAATAGACATAGCCCCCAGAGACTATGTTTAAAGCATTTATTATATATTTATGTTCAAATTTATTTTTCCAACAAAGCAACTTCAAAACCCCTAGGTTGCTACAAATAATATCAAATAATGTAGATGAATTTTCATCAATTAACTGGGCATGGTCGATTTGAGAATGCTTGGTTGAAGAGTTTAATAATGTATCTATCAAGATTTCAAAGAACAAGCCAGCTGGTTACATCAATGGTTTGTGCATCTGCTATTTGATTTCACACACAAAACCATTGATGTAACTAGCTGGCTTGTTCTTTGAAATCTTGGTAGATACATTATTAAACTCTTCAACCAAGCATTCTCAAATCGATCATGCCAGTTAATTGATGAAAATTCATCTACATTATTTGATATTGTTTGTAGCAACCTAGGGGTTTTGAAGTTGATTTGTTGGAAAAATAAATTTGAACATTAATACATAATAAATGTTTTGAAAATAGTATATAAGGGGCTATGTCTATTTAACTCTAGCATTTTGAACTTTATATCCTTTGAGGTGATTACTGTAGGGAGAAAGAAAGTCAGGAAATCTCTTCACTTATGTTTGGAAGACTAGTAAGGATGATCACTTCATCAGCAGTGAAGGGAAGTATAACATAACCCTTTATAATAAAACTTTATTTTAAAATATTCCACATAGTCATCAGCTGATAAATAAATATGACGTTTTGCTCGAATCCAAGAAATTGAAAAAATTGATAGATATTTAAGTTCTTCAATTTGTCTTCAATATCAAGACGAATTATCTTAGCAAAATTATTACAGATTGTACTGAATATTGAAACATAACAGCGATAAGAGATAGGACTGACGTAGATCTGCGAAAATTAAGAAAATAAATATTAAAAAAGATACGCAGAAATTTCGTAGAAGATACGCATAAGATATGCAGAAATTACGCAGAAGACGCAATAGGTACACAAACGGTATGCAGAATATACGAAGATATCAAACAATATTTACACTAAAATTAATCATAAGGTAAGAAATGACTAATATTTTTTCCTTATTGGAATTTTTTTATGGTTTTAAGATCCATAGTATTTATGGTAAAATTAAGGTTTGAGACTTCAATAAATACATAGAGAATAAGCAAAATATACGCATAAAATATGCATAAAATACGCATAAATCATAGAGAATGTAAGAAATATATAATCTTTTATCCTTATCGGAATGTTTTTATTTTTTATGGTTTCTTCAAGAAATACGCAGTGAAGCTAAAAAAATACGGAGTATATTCAGCTGTTGTATGCAATAACGTACCTTTTTTTTTTGCAGGTGACTCCTTCATTTAAGCAGAAGAGAATGTTGGAAGTTTTCAAAAGAATTTTTTTGCAGGAACCTCAGAGAACTACGAATGCTGGAAATTGAAAATTGTATAGACGCTTGAGATGTGAAAAATTTTCGTCATTTCATCTTTTTACCTTTATTTTGAGCGGGCAGGTGTCTGCCTCCAGTCGGGCCGACAAGACAACTTCGGACTGGGTCGGTTGCAAGTTAAATGAATATCCCCGACTTTTCACGCAAGTATACCACGCGTAACAATTTTATTGGAGTCCGAACCTAGTTCTACGTCCGGAATGTGTACATAATAATTTCTCTACTAATGGTGGCTTAAAGTCAAGTTTAAGCGAATCGAACTTGGTTATGCTTAGACTTAGCTCAAATCAAACATGACTCAAAATTGAAGTAAATTCCAAGTCGAGCAAGCTATATTCAATATGATTCGATTTCAAGCCAAATCGAAATCAAAGTTTTTTAAAACATGTGATAAAATATTCATTATAAGTTTCAAACTTGAAACCTCTTTAAACCAAATCAAGACCAAACCATTGAAACAAAAAATTTATGCATATTCTTAATAGAGCTAAAATATGTATACATAGTTTATTGAATTTGTCAAATCATTCTTCGAGCGAGCCGTCCTGGGCTTGAATGAACTCAAAATTACACCAAAAGTTTATAATTTAACTCATAATGCAACTAAAAATATATCAAAATGATTTCAAATTGAATCAAGAATTAAGCTAGATTCAAACAGGTTTCAAGTTTCAAACAAAATTTTAAGCCACAATGGAAACTAAAAAAACCCTCATCGATGGGAATTTCCAAAAAAGAAAACAAAGCACCTGTTAGACTAGTCATCATTGGACCGGTCCAACTAGCCCTTGGCAAGGGGTCGATTCACGCTTACAAGAGGCGGATCAAGGCAGGTCCTCCCTCTTGAATTTGCTGCCCATAATAGGAGTGGAGACAATGGGAATAATTAGGAAGTAAGAGGAGGGGGCGGCTAGGGTTAGAAGGGGATTTGCTTTAAATAGGAAGAGATTAGGAGGATTAAGGTTATGCTTGATTATTGTGTTCTTTTGGAGTCTTGTTCTTGGTGTCTTGGGCCCTAGCTTCGTCTAGGGATTGGGAGAAAACAATCCTCCTCTAGAATTAAGAATCAATTATATATCTTGCTTTGTTTCTTCCATTGATTTGATTTCTACAATAAAAATTACTGTTTGTGCTTGTTTTTCATTGAGTTTGTCGTCAATCTTGTTAGGGTTTACTTGAAATATTCAAGTATTTCAAATCAAATTGGTATCATAGCAGATTTTGGGATCGTTATGGGCTATTTCTTTTTTCAGAATTTCAACGGCGACTCTTTGTCCGGAGGAAAGATTTCTTGTTGATTTTTGTATCAATATTCAAATTTTTTGAACCTACAAAAATTCTGAGTTTTCATGGCGGCCAAAAAGGTAGATGCGTTGGAGCAACTCCTTGAAAGGGAGATGAGCCAAATGAAAGACGGTGGAAGATCGAATCTCATACTTAGAAGACAAGGTTTCATCTATGGAAGACAAAGTTTCTAATCTCCATGCAATGATGAAGAAGCTATTGGAAAACCAAATTCAAATGGCAGCATCATAGGCAAAGGTGCGGTGGGAAGAACTACGAATTTTGATTTTCATAGGAGGGAAAACGATGTGGAGATCATGGAAAAGAAAGGGGGGAAGGTATGGAGAGAGGCGTGGATATGGGGGGCATGAATCAAGGGGTGTTGTTTGGGAGAGAAAAAAAGGGGAATATGGCAGAAGGGTGTTGATTTTGAAGAAAAATATGGGAGAAAGTGAAGAGATGTTGGGGTATGAGAATAGGAGGGAAGATCGGGAGACTTGAGCGGAGCCAAGTACTTGGAAAAGGGGAAATTATGGAGGGATAGGGGAAAACTAGGGAGATCCGAAGGTAAGAAAGTTGAAGATGCGCATATTTGAATGGGAGGACGCATAAGGGTGGGTCTACGAGGCGGAGATGTATTTCACTGTCAATGGGCTGACGGAGGAGGAAAAGTTGACAGCAACAGGTTTATGCTTGGAGGGAGAGGCATTGTCCTGATATCAGTGGAGCGATCAAAGGAGACTCATACGGAGTTGAAGGGAATTCAAAAAAAGCTTATTGGAACGTTTTCGAACCGGCAGGGGAGGAGACTTCTATGAGGAGTACTTTGCACTAGTCTAGGACGGATCAGTGGCAGAATACCGTGAGAGATTTGAGCACTTGGCCAGTCGAGTGGAGCGACTATCACAGACTGTGTTGGAGATGAACTTCATGAAGGGGCTCAAATCCAAGATTAGAGCTACGATGAGGGTCATGAGGCCTCGTGATTTGGGAGAGACCATAAAGTTGGTACAATTGGTGGAAGATCAGAAGTATCTAGAAAGGGGAGGTAGGACTAGCAATTTAGGTGACTCTTACAGGATGACTACACCACTCTTCTTGCAGCAGGTGGTTTGCGTGAGACTACCAGAGAGAAGCTAGTAGGAAGAGGGAGTGGGGAAAATTTCAAAAGACTGACGAAGAGATAGATGCAAGAGAAGAGGGCGAAGGGATTATACTTCATGTGTGATGAGAAGTATACTCCATGGTATAGGTGTAGGGACTAAACTCTTCAGGTTATCACCATTTATGATGATGAGGAAACTGAGGGAGGAAAGTGAGAGGTAGAGGGAGAGATGGAGGACAAGCTGCACCTGGATGTGGTGGAGGTATTCATGAACTCAGTTATAGGATTCACAACGAATCACACCATGAATGTAAAAGGGAAAATAGCAGATATGGAGATGGTGGTATTGAATGATAGTGGGGCTACCTACAATTTCATCTCCAACCAGGTAATGAACTAATTAGAGGTGAATATAGGGCGTTATGAGGTGATAATGGGCACATGGAAAGTAGAGATGGGCTAGGGGATTTATAGAGGGATAGTGTTGATTATGCAGGGGATTCAGGTGAAGGAAAATTTCATCCTAATGGAGCTAGTGAGCACTGATGTCATCCTAGGAATGAAGTGGTTGCAGACCTTGGGAGACACCAAGATCAACTGGGGGGCTTTAAAGATGGAGCTAGTGGTGGGGGGAAGAAGAGTAGTGATAAGGGGAGACGCAGGGCTCTCCAAAGCCATGGTTTCACTTAAAACCATGGTGAGGAGTATACAGGAGGTGGGGGGAGGTTATTTGGTAGAACTATATAGGTTGGAGGGCATCAGACTAGAGGAGTGAGGGGAGATTCTTCTCTCAGTACGGGCGTACAGCCATTGATCCAACAATTCGGTTATTAAACTCCACTAAAATTATATATATATCATACCAAACAATTTTTTGTATTTAGCCCCTCAAAATTTACTAAATCTGAATTTATTAAACTCCACTAAACTTAAATCCTACTAGTACAAAACGAACATCCCTTAATTTGAATTCCATCCGATTTATCGAGTCTTATTTACCCTTGAGGCACCTGATTTTTACTCTTGGGCCACCATTGGAGCGGCGCCGGTCATATCTTTTTAATAATCCTCCAAGTTCCTCTGCAATCACAAGAGTTTTTCATGAGGCCTTCATGGAAAGTCGCCATAACGAAAGCTAGAGGAGGACCCGTTACCCGCCACATAACCATCCCGATCTTTCAGGGTTCCCATTCACGGTAAACCTTCCATTTCTTGTTTTTCTCTTTTCTTCCCCTCTCTATCTTAGATCAGTAGTACAGCAAGAAAAGTTAGTTGCGGGTGTGCAAAATATTGATTCATTTCATAAAAAATCGTTCCTAGGGCTCGTAAGTCCCGCCAATTTTCCTCTTGATGTGAAATGCATCTCGCATTTATTCAACTTTTTTTAATGAAATGTCATTTTGTTCTTGTGCATCTTCTGTTACACAACTTTTTTTTTATCTACGGAATTTCTTATGTTTTTTTTTTTTTTTTTTTTTTTTTTTTTTTTTTTTTTTTTTTTTTTTTTTTTTTTTTTTTTTTGCATAAAGCTTTTCGTTTACTTATACTTGGTAAATCTGATGAAATAAACAATTAGGGTTTAAGATTTATTGATGTTCATAAATTATTTTCTAATCTTGTTTCTAATTACTATAGTTCAGAGCTTAGTGACATTGGTTTAATGCTCTTCATATATTACTTTGCATGTTTTTTTAGAACATATGAAGTTATTAAGGGGCTGTTTGGTATCGGATTTATTCCCGGATTTAAGTCGGATTTACGCTAATCCAGCCAAACGGTTTTACAGCGCGCGTTAAATCCCGGGATTAGGTAAATCCCGGATTTACGGATTTACAGCTTAAATTCGGGATTTACTAAATCCCTCGGTTCGGCGGATTTATGGGATTTGGTCGAAGAAGCGCGCGAGAGGGAGAAAGTTACCTTCACAGCCAGCGAGCTCCCGTTGTTGCTTCCGATCAAAATGTCGTAACTTCCGATCTGTTGATTTTTATTTTTAATTATAAATTTTAATTTTAATTTATAATTACTTTCTTCACATTTAAATTTCTAACTGCCATAAATCATTCAATATATTACCAAATAGTTTTTCAAGATTTAACAGGATTTAATATTTGACATATCAATTAGTTTTTAGGATTTAACTTTTTCATAATTTATTATATCTGAATTTACAGAATTTACTAAATCTCACTAAAATTAAATCCAACTTGTTGCTAAACAGCCCCTAAGTATCGTATCCAACTTACTTTCTCTCATGATATATTTATCTTTTTCTTTTTGTTTATTTGATTAGATCCAAAATTGTTCATAACAATAGGACCTAACTAAATATAATGGAGGGTAAAGAAGAGAAAAAATATAGGGATGAAGAATTTTATCATATGAAATATGTAGAGAATGCATGCCTCGATTGGTAGTTGATTTCACATCGAAAAAAATCGCACATGTAGATGCTCCGAACATGGCATCTAAAAATGCGTGATATTTTAATTTGCCATATTAAAATTTGATATTAGTAAACCGATTTATCTCCATTCAATCGAAAAATAATGCGATGGAAAAATCATCAAACAAACCACAAGTTTTATGATTATATGAAAACCAGAGGAGATTAAGAAGCTTCCTTGAGAATGAGTCAACGTCTATAAGGGCGACCGTCATAGTGGGAGAGTGTGGCTAGGGCACGCTCCCATGACCATCGCACTTGACTAAAATAATAATAATTACTGATTATCTTATTAGTTTTATTTTTCAATTACAATTAGTTAACATAATTTAGAGGATGCTGAGAGTCTAATTGCTAATGGTTACATGATTTTACATATAGTATATGAGTGTTGGAAATGAAAGAGCATGGTGTAAGGACTCAAAAATTGACATTTGGGAAACTTAAATGCATATGCCATAGAAGACTTGCACTTCTAAAATACAAATCCTTCATAAGATGTATCATGCTCCCTTTAAATGAGCATGATGGCAATATTTGTAATGTTGGTACTTTTAGGATGTCAAGCGAAAAACAGGAGGCTAGAAGACCACGTACCAAGTATGTGACTTCACAAAAAGGCATGAAGGAATTTAATGTTGAGAAGATAGGTCAAGCATGATAACTTGTTGATAAGCATTGAGAATGCAACATGCCAAGGAGGCAAGTTGATGCTACCGAGAAGAACACATGAATGAATTTGTTATTGAGTTAGTGGTTCTAGGATGTAGAACAATAAAAAGTTATGAGAATGCTAGTTATTGGGGAAAAGAATTATCGAGAAGAACATAGGACGGAGTTGGTTGCGATCCCATTGCTCTATAATGTTAAGCTATCAATTAAGTTTCTTGAAGGTGACCTCTAGAGAAGCTAGCATTAAATTGGTAACTATGTAATGCCTATTTTTTGCTAAATGCTATGAAATGGAATTTTTCAATATGGAAAGTTTATTAGGAAGGCACAAAACTAATAAATCAAGGATATATATCTATTGGTGAGCATAGAGAGGGAAAATTTTGAGTATCAAACTTCACAGTATTGAGTTATTGGAGGATGTCAAATAAAAGATACCAAAGTACTCGACAACTCTAGTATAACGAGTTTTATGCAAGACATATAGATGGATAAATATTAGGAATGAAATGTCTAAGGTTACACCTATAATTTATTAAGTTGTTGTCAATCAAGGGGAGTAATTGTTAAGAGGAAAAGTTTATTGGACTGAGTTTGGGAAGACACTAACTAAAAGATGATTATGATTAATCGCTATAAAATTTCAAGCTATCAACAAGGTGCTAAAGAGGAATAGTACTAAGTAGGCGATTCCATGTGTAGAGATCTTAGGATGGCAAGATAACTAAGCTAATAGTTTTATGATGTTGGGCTATCGACAATGCACTGAGGAAAAGCATTGGCCACCCGAAAGGAGGCCAAGCCAAGGGGATGAAACATTAGGATGAAATCAATCATGTGTCAATTTTACTCGCAATACTCTTTATACGGGGTGACATGAATGAGCTAAGTCGATATATCTAGCACTTCGATAAATTAGAGAAGAACAAAAAATAAGAAGCCTAAGCTTACAAATCTAGGAAGTTAAGTCGACAGTAATAATTTGATGGATCCAACATAATTGTATATATTCAATTCAACTAATTTATAGGAAATGAACGGGTATGTCTATATCAAATATGATTTTTTCGATGATGGGTTTACTCGAAATTGATGTATATCGACTAAACCCATCCAATGATTGAACAAAAAGGCTCTCGCCCGAAGAGAAACTTAAAAGTTAATGTTATGGTGATCAATTTAAATTGTTGATTATATGATCTGCAAGGATTTTTATAATACCCCAATATTACATATATATTGGGGTTTTCATTCAGTATATGTTAAACCTTAAAAAGGGGTATTTGGAAACTATAAATTGAATTTTATGTTATCTGAAAGGCCCACTCAACCACTTGTTAATGTTTAGAACTATTTTGAAACTGCAAGGATATAGTGCTACAAATCTAAGAAAAAGTTTATATATATAAAGAAGTATTTCTACTATTTATCCCTTGGATGTCACCACATCACAAGAATGCCACGACTTCAAAATATAGTGAACTTATCCATAGCAAAAGTATTTTTTAATGCAATTGGTGAAGCAATATAGGAGATGGTTTAGAACAAAAATATTTAAAAGAATGAAATATAAAGTTGGAAGATGTTGCATTTTTCAAAAACAATTATAGCTCAATTTATTTAACAAAGATTAGCACTTTCCACTCTACAACAACAAAAAATTAAATAATTAAAGTACCCTTACATGCATAGCTGAACTTTTCACCTTATAAGAGTATGATGATCTTATTTTATATATTATAAATAAAATTTAAGATTAACATAACTATTTAAAATAAGCCTTAATAAATTAGATGAAATGTACGTTATATATTTTTATACTCGCTCGAATGGCAAAAAGTTCTTATTTGTTATCGAGTAAATAAATCAATAGGCAGTCATAATTCTTTTCTTTGAGCAAATAAATACTATGAATTAGTCGCCATTCCTATTCTCTTTCAATTTAAGAACATGGCATGACTTTCAACCAATTTTCATTTGTCTTATAATTTAATATTTGTTCAATTGGAGATTTTTTGAAATGCATTTATTTTTAATTATAAAATAATTAAAAATATGTATGTTAAAAATATATAACTTGTGCTTTAAACTATCATCTATATTTATTATTATCTATTTGAAATGCATTGAAATATAGTTGGCTAAGATAAAAGGCAGCACTAGGGGAGGAGAGCAGCATTTATAGAATGAGGCACACATAAAGTTCATGAAGGGACTTACGTGTTAATTAAGAAAATGATTACATGTTCTTACCGGAACGTTTTCGTTGAGTTTAAATAAGCCGGCGCACAATCCGCCGGTAACATGCGCCGGAACGTTTCCGCCGTAATCTGCGCCGGAAATAATCCAGAGCCCTTTTCACCGGCGTAATTTCCGGCGCAATGGACGCCGGTAAATTTCCGGCGTCAGTTCCGCCGGAAATAACGCCGTAAACTTTACGTAGCATCATTCCGCCGGAACCTGCGCCGTCAATGCCGGCTCAAAAATATCCGCCAGAAATTCCAACGGTAATCGCGTGTTTTCCCGTAGTGTTAGTGGATCAAATGCTCTATAAAATAGAAAAGAAATACATCCAAAAAGCATAAGAAAAACAATTGATCAAATGATCCTATCTAGTTATAACAAGCAACATGAAAAAAAAAAACCCAAAATGGGTCAATAAAAAGGCCCACAAGAAAAGCAATCCTGCAACCAACCCAAGACGACGGCCAGCAGACGGAAATAAACTAGAAATTAGAAATAGCCAACAAAAAATAGCACTAACAAGGAACATATACAATCAGTGTGGTCAATCAGATCAGCTGGGAGAAATGGTGTTTGGTAACTTGTTGGGAGAAGGCATAGATGAAACCCGGAACATGAATGGGGACAAAGACATTTCATGTGACCCGTTGTATCTCAATCTCTTTATGCAAATGTTTTTTTTTTTTACCCATCTTCTTCTCACACTACCTTGAAGTTGCTCAAGTATGTTGCTCTATTTTTATTTCTGTGTTTTGCTAATTTTTTAATTTCTTCTTTTCGAAATGACTCTTCACATATCACAATAGTAGGCCTCTAAATAAAATAGAGAATAATTATTTTTGTGTCAATGCTCATTCCTCTTAATTTGACAATTCTCGCTCCTTTTGTGCTTGATTCGAGCCTTCGAGGTATAAGGGCCAACATATACATAAAAACTATTTATTCTCCTGAAAAAATATGCATGAAAGTTATTTGTTCTCCTAAATAAATATGCATGAAAACTAATTTTGGATTAATTCACTTTCATTTCTATTCATGATCTGCATTTAAAGTTGCCTAAAGCAAAGAAACACAATGAGGCCAACATGATGATTGACCCTACTTATTTTCTGGCATTTCAGATATATGTTCAATCATAATCTAAACCTCAATCACACCCCAACCCAATCAGGATAGATTTCATCATGTTGAGTTGTGACAGCCTATTCCCAAATCTAGTTTTGAAATGTTTATATTTTCTTCCAAGGTTCATTTTAAATAACTACACACTACATAGCTACTAATAAATCTAAATACTGAAAATAAACTCATCTATTTGGTTTCTTTTATTTCGTCAAAATAAATATATCTACACTATAGTATATGGCTACATGCAGAATCTACATAATATAATAATAAACTCGTCATAATTGTATAAAAATCAAAATAAGTGAATTATATAACCACAAATTTGTCTTAAACTACTAATATAGTATCCTTTCCTTTTCTAGATCTTAAAAACCACAACGAGCTATAACAACTCAATAGGCCACACAAATTGATCTAAATTTTGAAATTATTTTCTTTATTAATTATTTTTGCTAAATATTTAAAAACAGTTAAATGCAATATAATATATCACTGTTTGTATTGAGAAAGGTAATAAAAACACAACACAACCAATTTAGTTAAATAGCAATGCTGAAAAGATAAATATGTCAAGAAAATAAATTATAGAGTAATTTATATCACAAAGCAATCCATATCACATATCCTGGTCTCTCATAGAATCTCAAAGGATTATGAACCCTTATGTGTCCCTTATTATATTTGTAGCACTAGAACATTCTCGTAAGCACCAGAACATAACTTATATACACCAGAACATGGTTTTGTAGACACTAAAATATGTCTTATAATCACCAAAACAATCTATGATTAAGATAGAATCTCAAATGATTCTGATCGCATATAGCTCTCAATATATATTTTTCAATCATATAAGCATATATTTCATTAGATTGCAATAGTAAAAGAAAATTTTAACATGTGTCAGAATTGCACAGTTTTCTATAATAGTAGCCAACATAACTTTCTATTTAGCAAATTTTCACAATGTAAGAATATAACCAAATTATAAAGGATGGTCTAAATAATTATTTTAAAACATTTATTATACTACATTATTAGTTTCAATATCCAAATTATTTTATGCTCAAATAAAACTGTATAAATTCCGAAATACTAGGTATAAAATTTCTATAAAATTCCTATTCTCTATAACATATAAAAAATTAAGCGGTAAAAATTTTATCAGTACAAAGTTATAAGCGTTTTTTACTAATAAAAATATAAATTTAATTAGAAAATTTGATAAAATTTTGTATTTTTAAACTGAGATATGCATAATGTGAACTATATTCGATCAAAATAAATTTCCAAGCCAGGCCGACAACTGAAAAAGTCCCGAAGTAGATCAAAACATAATCTTTCATTCTCCGATCTCTCTCCTCTCTCTCCTCAGCGGCTCCTCGGGGAAAAATGAATGGAATAGTGAAAAATATTAGATTTAATGAGCTCATAATAGCCTAGTGTTGTCGGCTTTCAAAAACCAACAAAAAACCCAAGTGCACGGCGCCGCAATGTTTCTATTTGACGCTTTGGTTAAATGTAACGCCGGTACACTCAAACACCCAGTGAAGTAGCACTCCAAAAGTGCTATTCTTAGAATTTGTCGAAATTCACATCGAACATTTAAGACTTATTTTAGAGCACAATTAATCATTTTCATGCATTAAAATACTCCCAAAGATATGAAAATAGTTGAAAAACTCAAAATCTCAAATCTTTACATTTTTCCAATCAGATCAGAGCTAGTAAAACTAAATATTGAACTTGGAGTTGTCACAACCTTACCCCAAACCTCTTATAATTTAATTTAGGGTTCGTTTGGGACGGCTTTTTAAAATGGAATTTTAGTACAAATTTTTTTATTTTTGTACTAAAACTCCATTTTAGATATCAATAAAAAAGCCGTCCCAAACGAAGCCTTAGACTCTTAAGGATAAGAGGCAACTATGCAAAAATCTCATCACCTATGGTGTCCACTGAGAGGGAGAAAGTAGGTATGTCAGCAGTCACCACAGGAGAGAGGATGTGAAAGGTTCTTAGGCTGAAAGTAACGCTGCAATCTCCTCAATAACCTTACCCTTCTAATCCAAGTAGTGCAAAGTATGAGCTCGATCTTTGCTGGTGGTGGCAGACACTGCTTCTCAGTGCTTGTTGCTAAGGGAGTTGCTCCGTTTATACGCAACGAAGGATTAGAAACAAAAAAATTTCTCATCTAAGGAAATTAAAAGAAATGCTAACAGCTCAGTATTGAGAAATATCTTCTTTCTGTACAAGCTAAATGTCCACTTCAAGCTCGCTTAGCAAGTGTCCTAGCTAGTAACTCCCTCAAAATTATTAGGTCCGGATATCCGATGTAGAGATACGTCCGGTGTCCAATAAAATATTGACATGTGGAATGTATACGTGTCTGCGAAATTTTAAGTCAAGCACGTCAAAAGCGTAGGTGAAGCGCAGTCAAATCGTAGTCCAAAGCACAGTTAAAGCGCAGTCCACATGGCAAATTTTAATTGGATATCCGGACCTAATAATTTTTCTTTGGTGAGACATTCTTTTGGCACGCTAGTGGATGGAGAATCTCTTCCGCCATGGATGATCTTTTCAAAGACTTGCAAGTAATTCTATTTACCTTCATCTTAGCTAGGGGAGAAGACAACTCTTCATGGGCTCCCCGCAGTCCACAGTATTTCAGCTAGTGTTACTATAGTTGGCAGTTCTTTGCTTGCCTCCACCTTCACAATCACTATAGGCACAAAGTGCAATTGGCTTGTCTGCCCAAGGACAAGGAGCATAGGTAACTCATCTCTACGACATTTTCTTACTCGATGGTGAACTAGATTTCTTCTCCTACTCTCCAGTTTGTGATTAAAAAGGACAACTTTCTTCACCCTCTTAAAGCTCCACATTAGTTTGATCGGGTCCTCTATGCCTTCATGAGGGAGAGTGAGTTTTTAGTAAAGGATTACATGCGAAGAGATCACAAATTATAATTATAATGAGGAATCTGCATAGTGCTCAATACTACAGTACAATGCAGTGGAGTTACCACATAGATACCTACCAGTCAAGTCATGTGTCAGATTTTTTTTTTTTACAACGGAGTATCTATCCGTTGTCACTCCAAATGGAATGCTTGACGGTGTAACTAATTCCTTGATGGAACCTAACGAGGCCACCCACTAGCATTGGGCCCACACTTGTTTTGCCCCACTGAAGAGGCAAGACATAATAGAGGGGATTCGAACCAGAGATAGATAGTTCTCAACTGTGCTCACCCACCAACCACCCTAAGCCTCGATGGGTATCAGATACAGTTTATAATGAGCCATATTAGAGAAATCAGATTACTTCGACGATAAATAATTGAAATTTTGCAGCATTCTTCATAATTTGTTGTGATTATAATGATGAGAAGATTAATTACACATTTCATAAAAAGTGATCTACCCCTCCAATCTCAACTCATTATATAAGTAGCTAAAATTCTCTTTAATTATCATTAAATTTTGTAATTCAAAATTATAGATAGAATATATAAAGAAGTGTAACAAAAAAAGATATTTGCATAAATTTTTCATAATATCATATCAATATTATGTTGAATTAAACTACTTTCAAAAGTCATATTCAAATTAGAGCATATAGATTATGACTTTAACAAAAACATCATCATCATCATCAAGCCTTTGTCCCACTCCTTAGGGTCGACTACATGAATCTTTTTTTCTCCATTGTGTCCAATTAAAAGTCAAATTCTCGTTTAAATCTAATAAAGAAATATCATTTCTAATATTTTATAACCAAATCTTTTTAGGCATACTTCTACCTCTCTTAACATAAATCAAATCTAATACATCTACTTTTCTAACCGGGTCATCAAAAGGCCGTCGTTTTATGTGACCAAACCATCTAAGTCAACTCTCTCTAATCTAATCTTCCACTGGAGCTACTCCAACCTTTTCACATATATGCTCATATTGTATCATATCTCTAAGGGTAAAGCCACTCATCCACCTGAGCATCCTCATCTCTACAACACTTAACTTAATATTATACCTCTTTTTTAATGGCCAACATTCAGCACCATAAGCATTGCAGATCTCACCACCATAAATCATTCGACGCCCTAGATTCTGACTTCAACAAAAGCAAAAAAAAAGTTTGAGCACAAAGTTCTGGCAAAGACAACTAAGCCCATCCACATGCTGGATCGAAACAGTTTTCTTTTTCTCAAACAAGTGAGAAGCCAAAGAACAGTCAACAAAGTGCCAGATTTCAGCAGAAAAACCAAATTCACCACTGCCTCATGACTCTACTAAGTATAATAACAACAACATCAAACCTTCATCCCACTACGTGAGCTCAGCTCTACGAAACATAATAAGCAAAAGGAAATAAATAATGACCTGTCTCTCATAGTTCATGATTTGATTCCCATCAGGCCATTATATGTGCTGATCTCACATAAAGACTGTCCACAACCTTGCCAATATTGCTAATAGTCTCCAGCGTTGCAGGAAAAATTGCATCAGCTTTGGGGTCGTCAAATATGATAAGGCAGCCAGCTCCCTGGTCTAGGGTTCCGGCGAACTTTTTGTCGAGGATCATTTGGGATAGCTTCTTCTCCACATGATCGATGGGAAGCTCAATCATCTCTGCAATGTGAGCAATCTCTACCCTTGAATAAGGTTCAATGAGCCTGCAGAGATTCTGCTCCATGAGAGTATCGTAGAGAGATGAAAGGTGCCTGTGAACAATTGGGTCTTCCTCCAACTGTGCCTTATAATCTCTAAGAGCAGTTTCGAAGAACTTAAGCGAACGCTTTGAGTGAGCATCTGCAACAGCTTTCATGGCGTCCAGATCGGGACCTAAGTAGTTCAGGCCGGCCCTCGAAGAAATTATACCTGCAACATCATCAGCATGGTTAACCATGATCTTGCAGAGAAGCATGTACTTGAGGCTAAATACAGCTCTGGGATCCTCAAGTGCATTGAAGGCTTCAAATGCCTCGAAGAAATAGCTGTAGGCAGTCTTGTAGTCCTTCTCCTCGGCATGAAGGATCCCACTCTGCAAATCAATGGTGCCCTGCTGTGCCGGAGGAACATAAATGGCATTTGCGGCAGTTCTTGCTGCAGTTAATGCAGCTTTTGCCTTGGGAAGATTTCGAAGAGAGAAATGAAGCTTGCTTTCCAGAAGATCAATGTCCACAAGCAATAGTTTGTCATCCAATCTTCTGACCTCCTTTATCAACCCAGTAAGAAGATTTAGAGCCTCAGAATAGTCCTTATTGTCCATCAGGAGAGCAGCAAGCCTAGCCTCGACACGTTGCCGGAGGAATGTGCGCTTCTCGGCACGTGTCCATTCCACCATTTCCTTGCAGAGAGAGATCTGTAAATCACAAGTCCCTGGTATTTTGGCAACCGCATCTATGATCCCCCTCACAATCTTTGCGGTTTTTGCCTTGGGAATCAAAGAGAAAAAGGGTCTTAGTTGTGTAAGGAGGCTTCTAAGCTCCTCAGCTTTCTTCTCCTGTGTGAGTAGGTCTGAAAGTTTTGAAATTGCTTGTTCTTTAATGCGCAGAGCATCTGAGGAAGATGAAGGGTCCTCAAGAATAAGGTATAGAAGAGAAATGGATTCAGTAGGGTTTACAGCCTCCAAGGCCTGTGCTAACGAATCAGTGTTGGCAGGAAGAAATGATGATTGCATTGGTGATGCCATTTCACCTTTTAATGATAAAAACTGCAATAATAAAAGAAGTCACTAGAAGTAACAGTTTCCAATACAAAATACTCAATAATATATTAAGGAACAAATGTGCACAACTTCACATATTAGAATTACGAAGACAAGTGTTACATATTGCCATAAATCACATTCACTTCTAACAAGAAATACTTAAAAAAAAAAAGGTTGAGATCATGAAAATAAAGCAATAAGCTTTTAAAGTTCAAACAAATGTAAACTGGTTTCAAAATTTGCTATTTTTAAGGAATCCTGGAGCTTTGTTCACTGGTGTGGGATGATGAAACTATGCTGAAGAGGACCTCCCTGAGGCATACTGGAGAAATTATTATCAAGAAACAATTGAACATATATATAATCATAATAAGCTTACTAGTTTTTAGGGTAATAATTGTAATGAATAGTTTAGAATTGACTTAGTGGGTCATTATGGGTCATGGTAGTTCATAGCTAATTAATTATTATTGGGTAGTTATTACATGTTTAATGAGTCTTGTAATTCTATAAATACTCCCCCCATAGGGAATACTAAGGCAAGCAATGAATGAAATAAGAAAATTAATTATTATTGGGTAGTTCATAGCAAATTCTTCTGCTTACTCCCATCCCTCTCCTCTTGTAATCGCTTGTTTGCTATCGGCCATTTTCCACCCTATTCACATACAGGGTCAAGCTTTCTCCTAGATAATATATGAATCAGATATTTGATTAGATCCATATTGTTATAAGGCATAGTAAGTCACAGGTGAAATCATTATTTTCCTTATCATGTGTAAATTTTATAATGACAAAAAGGTATTCATGTAGCCGTCTAGCTGCTAGACCTCATGTAGCGGAATAAAAGTATAATGTTGCTGTCGTTGAACATCTTTTTTTATAAAGATCAGTTAAATAACAAAGAGTTAACCATATTGAGTTTTATCCAAAATTCAATTCTAAGGCTTAGTGAGTTCGAAGCTGAAATATTCATTTTTTTTGTCATGGTTACATGGGATTACAAGAAGTTTATCTAGAAAATTGTCTCTACTACTATATTAAAAAATAGATACCTAACATAGTCTCCAATGATGAGGCACTTTTACATATTTCTGAAGCTCTTTTACAAATTTATATCCATCGTTCCATATTTCAAGTATTCCACGGTTTAAAAGCTTTATGGCATAGTCAACTTATTAACTGAAGCAGACTGCACGAACAATTTCAAATGATTTAACGCATTTCAAAAATTAAAAAGTTCTAAAACAATAATAACAGTATTACTAAGCTTAACTGCTTAAGTATATAATTACCAAAGTACATCATCAACCTATATCCTTTACAGAATGGTAAATAACAAACAATTCTCCCCCAAAACACAAAAACTATGTAATTCAATCTAGCTACTTGGGAGGAAGGTGCAGAAGTTTTGCTAAAGGATACTGCTAGACCGGTCCACTTGGTCCGCACGGGACCGGCCGAGTCGCAAAACAGGCGACTGTTTTCGCCTGGGCGGAAGCGCCGCACGCACGCATGATCCACGGGAGCTTTTTAGGAAGCTTTTTTTAGAGTTTTGAGAGGGAAATTTGAATGTAGGGACTGTTTAGGGATTTCCTTTTGATTTGTATGCATTAAATAGTTTGTTTTCCTAGGGTTTGGGCATCTTGAATTTGGCTGAAATTTGAGATCTCTTAGAATTAGGATTTCTTTGGGCTCTAGCGGCGTCTAGAGATTTGGGAGAGATCGATCCTCCTCTCGAATTGAGGATCAATTGTATCTTTGCTGTTTTCTTCTTCTACTAGTAAAATACAAGTTTTTCCTACGCATTTCTCTCAGTTTTATACAGTTTTTCCGCTGTTTTTACTGTTTTCCTGCTCCGGACAGCAGTATTTCGTGGAGATTTGTTGTAAAGGTGAATAGGAAATACTTGATTTCAAGTGTTTCCTATCAGATACCAAAGAAGACACATTATTGTTCAATGTTTCGGGTTAACTATGAAATACATCAAAATATTTCATGACATAAAACATATAGATTCTATTAACGTTCATTAATTGATAAGAAAAGCATATATAATCTGCGCAATTCCTCAAAGAAAATTTTCCACAAAATATACTTATGAAAGGTGTAGTTCACAGGAATGAATACAGAATGCAAATTCATAAAGCAAAACCCAAATAGTTAGGATGATGCAAGTGATAATGATAATGATCAATTTAATCAACATGTCTTTAAACTATATCAAAAGTAAATATTTTTATCATTAAGTTATCATAGAAAGAACACCATCAAGGCAAATTAAACAAAAAAATAAAATAAAATAAAATGAGGAAGTAACTCCCTATAGTATCCATTCAAGATGCTTCAAATAAATAGATCAAAGCATCCCTATGGTCACGATCAGTTAATCTTACTTTCTTTTTCTTTAATATGATTTACTATCTTTTTTTGTTTCTTTAATATGATTTTATTAGGATGGAGGCACCCTGGCTGGGTGGTGCGTCAGCTATTGGATGAATCTCCGGCACCATACAACCTAAACCCATATTAGTAAAGGAGTTCTTAAAAGTATGCAATAATAGAGATTTTTACTTCTCTATCAAATATGAATTGCACCTAATATATTGTGATTGGTGTTAATTTAAAGTTTTATACAAGATAGGCTTTTAAGGGCTCTTATTCAGTCACTTATTGGAGGTTTTATCTGGGTGGCTAAACAGTAAGAGTTCTTAAAGGAATGTAATAATACAAATTTTTACTTCTTTATGAAACATGAAAAAGAATATGAGAATGCTGCATATAATATATTGTCATTAGTATTAAATAAAATTTTAAACAAGGCAGCCATTTTAGAGTTAGTACAGCCACCTGTTGGAGTGTTTATTTGAGTAGATAAATTTAAGTGTTCAACATGGCCTACGTAACCTAATTCCTGGACAAGATCAAAGTCCGTAGTAGTCCAAATACTCCTGATGTTGACCATGTCCAAAGCTCCATTTTTCGAAACCAAAGAAATATATAGAAACTCACACCCAACAGCGCCCCATGCAATCAAACATAAAACAACTAAAACTTACAAATCCCGAGTTCAAAACAACAAAACCTCTTCAACCAAATCTAATAGAATACCCACCAGTACAAAAAATGCACTTTGAAAACCCAAAGATAAACAAAAAAAATATGCTATTAAAAAGAAGTTAGACACTCAACTATCATATTGGTTCCTCCAAGCTTTAAGTCATGTAGCTGCAGATCATAAAACTAGACCTCCAAAAACATTTTAAAAAAATGACACATCCTATCCACGACTCCAAAGATTTGCTGGTCCTAATCACCTCCAAATTCAACAGAAACAAAATTTCCAATTAAAGTAGCAAGAAGTAGAAAAAATTAAATCACATTTTTCGTTGAGGATCACTTAGAAAATGAAATAGCTCTCATAAAATTAACAATACCCCAAATAAGAAAATAAACTCTACCCCTGTCTGAAGACTTTTGGCCTGCAAAGACTACCGAATCATCTATTCTATGCAAAGATCATCAAGATATTGCCATTCATTAGCCTGATCTCAAATATTTCAATTTGGCCTTATGAACCTTCATTTTTCATTTTTTTTCCTAAATGCATTAAGATGTTAAAACTATTCTTTACAAATCATTTTGAACAAACTCTCATTGTTGTATTATGTCTACCATTTTTTCTTTGTGATCCCAAGATACTTCACACATTTGCCCATCTAATGGCCTTTACCCTCCGTTATACATGTTCAAACCACCTATCTATTCACAACCGCTTATCTTCATAAGATGAAGCCCACATCCATCCAATATAATCTTATTTTTTTTAATTTATTCCTCCTTTTTTTACACACCCATTTTAATATGCTCATTTTCACCCTAATCAGCCGAGCTATCAATAACTTTTTTTTGTCCAAATGATCCAAATAACATAGCCAACATAATTGTATTTTATCAAATTAACCTTCAAGTTTTCAACATATTCCCTTCTCACATAATACTCATAAAATAATTATTCATTTTAACCACTCAATCTTAACTCTAACACATATTTCCTCATTTTCAATATAATTAAATTCAAGATACATAAACCTATCACACCAAAATATCACTTTTATCTCCTAATAATATTGGTTAATGCTATATATATATATATAGGTTAACGCTTGCTAACGTGAACTCATCAAAATTGCATATCATATACTCAATGTTCAAAACATTTGTTCAGTTGTTTTAGCTTCCACTTATTCCAGCAGAAGTTTCTCCAATTGAACAAAGCATGCATTGGCAAGGTGGAACGCTCATCTCAGGTACTAGGAATTATAGTGCTACATGGGGATATGGCAAGAAGTTGCTCTGCCAATAATTCTAACATATAACATATGAGGAAGAAAGATGAAGTGGCAAAATTTCTGAAAGTGAAAAGATCAAACTGTCCGCATCGAAAATTTCAGCCAGTCTTTGCTGTGAAATGTATTGCAAATAAGACAACCTAGTGATCTGGTTCCAGGTTTCCAATAGGCATAATCCCCATCCCAATGATAAGAAAGAACTTTGGATTAATGCTAATCGTTAGATACTAACCGCTTAGCATATAGTAGCAATAAACTTTAATATTGAGACTGAAAATTTATTGTTGTTTGCTTAAAGAGGATGATGTGGATAATGATGATGAACCCAGTCAAGATCTCATGATTCTGTCTTAATCGGGTTGTCATGAATCCTAAATTACTTAATTAGAGAATGTGGTAAACCCAAACTAACCAAATGATTCTTATCGCAGACATGGTGATAGGAAATATTTTAATATTTTAAGTAAACTCTAACCAGATTGAGGAAAACAGCGGGAAAACTTCACAAATCTAATGGAAAACAAATAAAAATAGTAATTTTTATTGTAGAAATCAAACCAACGGAAGAACTAAAGCAAGTTACAATTGATCCTCAATTCGAGAGGACGATCATTCTCTCCCAATCCCTAGACGAATCTAGGGACCCATACA